CCCCTACGAACCTCCAGCTCTCACTGTAGAGTCTGCAGAGCCGAGATTGAGTAACAAAGTCCTCACTTCGAAGAGGATTCCCAATCGCTTTCGCGGTCTGTATCGTCTTCATCTCTCAACACATACCCCTATCACCACTATCATGAAGCTAACCACGATCAGATCAGATGGTAGGGTCGGAGCCCTACTCGTCACCCACCCTTGATCATGGAGGAAAAGCCATCCGATGAGTTTCCGGAGCGTACCCAGCACCCGATACGGAGATGGTGGATTGGATCAAGTCGACCTCGACTGTTACAAAGAAGGGAGATATAGATGAATATGCGCACCTCATGTGGTCCCGGTGTCTAGGCCTCGCCTGGCTGGGGCTGCAGGTTTTTTGAGACTTTTTCCCGCGCACGCAGTTTCCATTGCTACCATTTTTTTTTTTTTTTTTGGGTAGAAGGTTCCGTGGAAAAGGTGGCTGAATTCCACGGGTAAATACTGAGCTGAATGGCTATTCATCAAGGGGAATATATCAATGATCTTTCAAGTAACAAAAGAGGATAGGAGCACTGTACAAGGTGTGGCCTGGGTCAGAGAGGAGCCCAATGTGCTAGATAGTCATAGACTCAACTAGTACAATAAAACACACACACACTTAGGGTCCGGCACGGTGTAAGGTTACAAGGCTGAATCGTCAGCCTCGTATACTTTTCTTATAGTGTACCATTGTTGTAGACAGAATGAACAACAACATCTTTATCCCAACGTACATTGTTATCTGATCAGATACCGAGGCACAGCCTATCCAACAGACGTGGGGGAGTAATTTGAATCATTGCCTCGTGGGCCAACTTGTTCGGTATTGCAGAATTTCAATGAACCTGGCCCTGGGAGAATATTTCATTCCCAGGTTCGTCGAGGACACGGCGTAAAGGTGTTCGGTCATTGCCTTCTGATGAAGTAGGCCTATGAGTATTATAAAAGAGAGATAATGATAATTGAAATTTTAATGAGGGTAGTGAAAGCGTCATAATTAGATTATACGACTTTCGAGATATTTCAGATTCTTAATTTAGCTGAAGAATAGAATTTTCTCATCCGTCAATTCATTTACCTAATTTAACGTCCTATGCGGTATCTATTTAAAGATCATGAATACGGTAAGCCATGGTTAGAAGGGAAAAAGCTTTCAAGGAACAAAACACAAAAATTCGCCGGAATGGCACAGCCCGGTTTTTTTTTATTTTTTTTTTATATAAATTTTAGGTCCTAAGCTATGCTCTATATCTCCTAGGAGTCAAGGACCGGACACAGCCCAGTTTGTTGCTGAGGTCGTTCCTTTGTTCCATTGATATTTGTTTCACCCCAATTGTTAATTCCTCAATCGCCCCAATCCCTACTCAGCTGAAGTTGTGGAGATTTCTTTCACCATCCTTCTCTCCTCTTTTCGATGACGGAGTCGTTTGAACTACCGGTATCATAGCTCTTAAAGTATTTAATACTGCCGTTGAGTCTGCGATCACCTTATGTGGACGTCCTGGTCACCTCTTTGAGGTTCTGCCTTGCGATTACTGACCAGTGTGAATCCTTGATCGTCGGTGGTCGTAGGCGCTGTTTGCGCAGCAATTGTGGAACTGTTTTCCCTTCGAATTTCCGACGTTCGTCTCAGAAGCTCGAAGCGGGCTTTCTGAACAGTCTCCTTGTAGACTAGGAAAGTCCGATACGACGCTCTCTGCAACGAACGATATTCTTTGTCACAGTTTACACAAGAAACTCTTTCCCTGGGACAGTCCCAGGTTTAATGGGCACCTGCGCATTTACCGCGCCTAGCTGCCTTTCCGCACGACGCCTGGGCGTGTCCCTATTTGCTGCAGTTGTAACGCTGCTTTGACTGGGCCCTTTGGGACCACACCTGCGCCGAGTACATCATGACATTGGGGACAATGCTATGTTAAACAACTTGTTTCTGTAATAACCCCATATGAAGACTCGGAAAAATTGAACCCGTTGTGCGGCCGTTTGTCTTGGCCCGATCTATCTCTTTTCCGTCGTGCATCCATCTCATTCTGTTGATCTTTTTAGTCTGGAATTCGTATTACTGTGGACGAATCTATCTCCCGTATCAAAGATGTGTTGTTTGCATAATTGCCTCTTTCAATCTTCGCCCGCAATGGGACTCAGTAAACCTCCACTGGAAAATCTTGCATTAAGACGTGAAAGTCCTCTTGCTCTGCCATATTGAGAGCCACGTCTCTCTAGGTCGTCGACTGAGCAAACAACTCGGTATCGTTGCTCCGCATCTGTCGCACTACGTATAACCCTGGTATGTTTTTCTGTGCCCTTGTAAGCAGCTGTGCTTGCTGCATGTCTTTTGCTCCCTCGACGCGTATTCTAACAGCTATCTTCGCATATGTTCTTGAGGCCTCCGGCCTTGAAACTATTGCAGCCGCGTTGCGAGCGGGCCCCGCGAGACTCTTCTTGACTGGCTCTTCAAGAGTTAAGACATTTCTTCAATGGGAGATTTCATAGTCTATATCTCCTTCCAAGCCTTTTTGTGTGTGTTGAAGGCCCTGACGGCTTCCGCGATGTCTTCTGTGGTTATGGGAATCCCTTCGTCGTCTTCATCTGAATAAAGAGTCACGAGCTTTTTTAGTAATTGTCTTATGATATTAAGATTCTTATCTGATTGAGCTGTTGACGCTCCGCTGCCTTCGAAATGTTCGGTCTTTGTCGAAATTTGCGACGCATCGAGACCGCTGGCCCCATCGATCCGGCACCTACCATGTTGTGGCACAATGGATATCGGGTCGGAAATGAGGTGAGATAGATGAAAATACGATTAGCGAAGTCAATTTTATGAAAGAGCTAGCCTGAAGTGCTGCGTAGCTTTTCGTGAAAAATGTTGTTTTGTGGAGCTCTCCCCCCTCGAAGGCAAAGGTCGATAATTTTCTTAAGATTGGTTCATGCAAAAGAAATATTTATGGTCTGTATTTTGTACCCAAAATATATGCTGATGTCCATAGAATTGTGCAATGCAACAGGTACATAGTGATAAGCCCTCAATTGTTTCCACATTTTGATCAAAAACATTTTGAATTTGATTTCATTTAACTCGATTTGGCGCCCTGTGGGCCCATGCAGGCGGATATGAGACTATCTATATATTTACATGAGGGGGAAACCATTACAATAAAAACCCCATCCCCCTATTAATTTTTATTTCATCTATAGTCCTTCGTTACCTATAGAAAGTGCAATTGGCCTTCAGTCCGAGACAGGACTAGCTAAAATTATATTCGACCTCGCCATCTTTTCCCTGCCCTCGCGTGCTGGAAATAGACGACTGTGGTCTTGACCTTGACCCCGTTGGTCCAAATACTAGTGGTGGTGGGTTGACCAGGAGCCGTTTGCGCGGGCGTTCTGGCCCTCTCTTTAATATCTCCGGCTTTTGGTAGGACACAAGTGTGAACCCTTGGTAGTCTGTAGTGTTTGCCGTGGTAGGTATTGTTGATGCAGCTGGTGTGGTTTCTCCTTTCCCAAATTCCACCGTTCTCTCCATTAGTTCATACCGTGCCCGTTGAACGCTGGCCTTGTATGCCGCGAAGTTTTGACACCCCCCTTCTGCCAAGATTTATGGTCCTTGCCGCAGTTACAGCAAAGCACCGACTTCCTCGGGCATTCCCTGGTCTGGTGAGTGCGCGGGCACTCACCACATCTCCTTGCCCTATTGAAAGAGGCTTGGGTATGCCCCCATTGACAGCAGTTGAAACACTGCTTAACTTTTGCCCGGTGTGACCAGAGCTGGGCCGTGTATAGGATTGAATTGTATACAATACTATTTCTTATCACTTCGCGTTGAAGTGCCTCTGTCTGCAAACTCGTGACAATTGATTCTCGAGTATAGCCGTTTCTTCCCATCCGTCGGCGCTCCTTTCCGTCGAAGAGCCATCTCTCCCTGTTGATCTTTAATTCGGGTACCCGAACGTTCGTTACCGCCATGACTTGATTTATAAGCTCGCCATTATTTTGATTTGTCTCCTCTTACAAATGTTCCCAACGGGATCCCCAATATCTGAACAGTGTGATCCTACTTCAAGACGTAGAACTCTTTTGGCTGAGCCATACTCAAGGCAGCGTTTCGCTGGGAGACAAACTGCACAAACACCTCCGTATTATTGCTCCACAGCTTCTTTACTGCGTATGCTTCCTCAATATGTTTTTTAGCCTTGCCTAGGAGCTCTGCCGGCACCATATTTTCTGCTTCTTGTACTCTTATTCGTACTGCCGCTTTAGTCGCTGGCAGTGCGACGATTGAGGCGTAAGTGGGCCGCCATCCCATCCCTTGTGCTGCCGAAGCAGCCGTCTTGCGCGACAGCTCCTCGAGGTTCTTCGTGACTGCCTTCTCTAAGGCTAGCATCCGTTCTTCCATTCTTCAAGCCTTCAGCTCCGATTGTAATATCGTAGCGTGGGCTTTGAAGACATCGAGTGCCTCACCTATTTCGACCATCGGCGTCGCAGATTTGTCAGTGCCTGCTATCACCAGTCTGTCTCTGACCTTGTTTAAGTAAAGCCCTGTTGTCTTTGAAGTGTGCATGTTGACGCCTGTAGAGGTCGCGAGAGACTCTACAGCCGTAATTGCGGCGGTTCCGCTGTCCGTTGATGGTGGTTGAGACGCCGTGAAAATTCTTCAGCCCTGAAATCCACCTTTCTGGCTCTTCACCTCTCCATGCCGAAGCGCAACGATAAAAAATTGGGGAACCAGATAAGGACTGATTAAGATGGTAATAATTGTAAAAACGATGAAATAACGTTCATGGAACGTGGTGCCGCTTTTGACCCAATGACGATGGTTGGTCAAAAACATTATCACACGTATTACATGCGTCACAATGAAGACTCATCAATATAAGGTGAGGCCAAAGGTCTAGGTATCCACTACAGAACACGCTAGGGAGGTACATGGGTGGCACTTGGAACATTTTCGCGCGCGCTCCACTTCGCTACACCCATCATTAATGATGCCGTACCTCACTACTGCCCATCAATGGCTCACACAGTCTAGCCTGCTGTTGCAAGCTCAACCTATCAGTGTATGTAGGTGTGAGAATACAGCACTTCAATTACATCAGTTGTTTAGCCAGCTAACAAAGCCGCGTTTGGTAGACACGTATCACCCTAAAGTACAACTTACCAACTTCTAATTCTCATAACACAAATCACGTCAAGAACGCCTCTCGTTCACCAGCGCCAAAGGTTGAACTATCGAAAACTAGTTGTACTAGACCATCACAACCATTAGCTACCCTCACCCTAAAGACTTACGATCCAACCTCCGGCACTACTCTGAAATACCGTACCAACAAAGGCGCTGAGGTTGGCAGACTGATACAACTTGTTGGCCGCTTAAGTAAGGGTATGACTGGGTTGCCAATGGACGATGTGACAACCGCAGATACTGTCATGACGGAGAAGACGGACGATATTAAGGCCACTCTTGATACCAAAAATACAAAGATTGGGGGAAGGAAGGGTAAACGGAAGGATGGTAGATAGTCGAGGGATATTGTTTTAACTATGAATGTATTTTCGATGCGTAATGTACGGTTCCTTGAACCCGATTTCTACAGTGCGTACTTTTCTCCTTCGGGATTACTCAGCAGTAACCGTTCACAACACTGTATCTCACATTACACCCGTGTCTGTGGATCAAGTGTTGCACTACCAAAAAATAATTAACACCCTTGACTCCATTCCGTCCAGCTCTGCCAGAGAGTTGATTATTCCCATCGTTAACATATGATACTTGAGTACGAATTACATATAATACTGTTTTTGGCCTGCATATTTGGTTGTATCCATTAAAAATCCTCATCGAAATTAAATTCTCCCCCATCGTCATTAGGCGAAAGGGTTGGGCCAGAGTTGTCATCCTTGCGTTGAGTTGATGCCATCACTCCGGCCTTCTGATAATCTCCTACACGTTTTTCGAAGAAGTTAGTTTTTCCGGCGAGAGAAATGTTTTCCATAAAGTCGAATGGATTGGTTGCCTTGTAGACTTTATCGTTACCGAGTGCTAACAGAAGACGGTCAGCAACGAACTCTATATATTGCTTCATGAGATTTGAATTCATTCCCAATAGTGCACAGGGCAGAGCACTTGTCAAAAATTCTTGTTCTATTTCGACAGCTTCGGTTATAACGTCTTGCACGGCTTGTTTGCTTGGGCGATGCTTCAAATGAGAGAAGAGCAGGCAGGCAAAGTCAGTGTGAAGACCTTCGTCACGTGATATGAGTTCGTTTGAAAAAGTTAATCCTGCCATTAATCCGCGTTTCTTTAGCCAGAATATCGAAGCAAACGAGCCGCTAAAGAATATGCCTTCGACGGCGGCGAACGCAACTAGTCTTTGAGCAAAGGTTGAGTTTTTGTCTTGGATCCACCGGACAGCCCAGTCAGCTTTTCTCTTTATGCACGGAACTGATTAAAATTAGCTTCACTTCGTTGTATAATTTGCTACTCACTAGTTTCGATGGCGTTGAACAAATGTGCTTTTTCTGCTTGGTCCTTGATGTACGTGTCGATTAGCAGTGAATAGGTTTCGGAGTGTATATTTTCCATCATTATTTGGAATCCATAGAAACAGCGCGCTTCTGGTATTTGTACCTCGCTACTGAAACGTTCCACGAGATTCTCGTTGACAATGCCGTCCGAGGCAGCGAAGAATGCTAGGACGTGAGATATGAAGTAGCGTTCATCATCGTTTAGTCTGTCCCAGTCACTAAGATCCTTCGACAAGTCTATTTCTTCTGCTGTCCAAAACGATGCCTCCGCCTTCTTGTACATTTGCCAGACCTTGGATGTTGTGAGCATAGCTTTGTGGATGTTAAGTCTGCACTATTACTTACTTCATGATACTTGATTGGGAATAGGACAAAACGGTTAGGATTCTCTTGCAGTAAGGGCTCGTCTGCTTCTTCTGGCTTAATCGTAGGAGCAGTCGGGGTAGATAGAATTGTCTTCGCATCCGAGTCAGGTTTGTCAGAAGAGACGATTGAGACACAGTTTTTGTCCGTTGCTTTGCCGTGTACTTGAGTCACTGTGACTGATTCATTGAGACCAGATGCTATTCTGGAAGACATTTTCCGTAGAGTTCTGTTGAAGTAATGAAAAGGTGGAAATTCTTCGTGTTACTTTCAAGATTGGGAGCGAGGTGAGACTGGGAAAATTGAGACGGTGGTGCTAGGGTAGCTGTACTTTGAGGTTATGTGGGAGTGAATAAATTAAGGATTTGAAGCACAATTGACCACACTGTAGATACGATATGATAATTGAGTGGCGACTCTCTTTGTTTATATAGTGAAATCGAGAAGCACGGCAGGGTTAATGTATAAACACTTCGCTTATTGCAGATTAGAGGACTGAGCCAATCAAGCTCTGTGAATACGAAGCATCATGACACTAAATAAAGAAGCCCATGAATGATCATGAAAATGCGAGAGGCTGGTAACAGCAATTCCCAGGATAGAGATCTAAGGTACAAAAGCAAAGCTGCGACAAGAGCGCCCATCTAAAGGTTACCCAGAGAACCCTTAGGGCTGTACAAAAGTCAAATGAAAATCATCGTCATTGGATCCAAACTACGGCAGCTGAATTATGTAACTAGAGCTAAATTGATTTGATTACGTCACTATAACCTTGCGATCATATTTAAACTTCAGAGGAACGCGTTAGGCGCGTGCAGACGCGCAATTGTCCATTGATCCAACGCGTTTTATCTGCACTAGATGAAAGTTGCTTAGACAACCAACACTTATGTTTGTATATGGACAGGCAACGGATACCTGCTCCCCCTACCTTGCCATAGGTATCATGTTACTATAACAACATCTACCCCTCTGTGGCAGTAGTCGAGTATTTATGGCATTGGGTGGAAGGGGTATCCTAATCCCTAACATCCCTTCACGATAACTAACCATTCGTGTGTAAACTGACGGGATTGATCATGCTTCCCGGACCTCGATAATTGGCATACATTTTCAAGTTCACTAAAAGTCAATATTTGTCGACACGGCAACTTGAGATGTCGTTCTAGCGTTTGCACCTAACAAGGTAAATTATGCACTTGCCATGTATATTCCATTTGCATCGTAACGAAGCGCAAGACCTCGTTTATTAAAGTAGATGCCCAGCAAACCTCGAGGGACATGCAAACTAGAACGACTAATCGGTAACGTAATACGAGAGCGAGTAATTCACTATCTTTTTAATTTCGTTACTACGGGGATATATTTACTATCGTTTGGCATACGTATAGTTAATTATGCTACTTGAGTCATAGACTATCTAGCACAGTAGGCTCCTGAGATAAAGACCAATCCTTGTACAGTGCTCCTATCGTCTTTTGTTACTTGAAAGATCATAAAAATATTGCCCGTGATCAAAAGCCGACCAGCTCAGTGTATATTTGTGGAATTCTCCTAAATTTTTATTGGAACCTTCTGCCCAAAAAGAAAAGGAAGAAAGCTAGTTATAGGGGCTGTGTGCGCTGGAACAGTCCCAAAAACCTTGCAGACCCAGTAAGGCGAGTCCTAGACATTGAAGTCACTCGCGGTCCATACATCCATACATATTTTCCTTCGTCATAACATTAGACGCCAAATTAATCCAATACACCATTACCGTATTGTTGCACTGCCGTAAAGCCGTTTCGGGTACTGGGTACGCTCCGGAAATTCATTTGATAGCTTCTCTATGACCAAAATGAGTTACGAGAAGGACTTGGAGCCTAACATCTGATTTGATGGTAATCAGCTTCAGAAGCATGCTGAAAGGAGGATATGTTGAGAACTAAAGATTACATAGACTGCGAGAATGATTGGGTATCCTCATGGAAGTGAAGAAATTTTTACTTAATCCTGGCTCTGCAGACTCTACAGGGAAAGCTAGAGGTTCTTAGGGGACACCGCTAACACGTGTTCAGTTTTCATCGACCGCCATTTGGCATAGAGATGTGTTAAATGCGGTAATCTGGAGCAAAAATTACATACGTAGATCACGCTAATCTCCAATTGGTGCAGGCTACATGTAATATAGAGCATATGAAATATGGAAGAATTCTTTACCTTGATGATATCGATTTATTTAACGATAGGAAGTAGTCGAAATGGATTTGAATAAATTCATAGACAAAGACGCAACACCCGTTTGCGGTATCCTTATTGGACTTATAAGTTTAAAATTAACCAGAGCTGTGCGAAGTGAAATTTGGTGATGCCTATCAAGCTGTCCCATGAGGCATTGACCCAAGGCTCCGTACTCAATCAAACATTTCATTGCAATCAATATTGTTTACCAAAAAAGTCTTCTAAATTCTGTAAGTATACCTGACTATATTCTTATGTAAATGATCATTCCACTAGATAACTCACTCACTTGCATTAACCGTCCTCCAATAAACGCCCATGCCAAATTAACATCCGCAGGCTGACGCAGAACAGGGGCGTCAGATCTTTGGGATGAACGTGAGAGGGACCAGGACATACAGACAAGAGGATTCAAAAAAAGCAGAAAATCTCAAGAGCTCAGTTTTGAATATAGGCCGAAAATCTCATGAGCTGAACAACAACGAGCGACTCATAGCTTCTAGTGCGTGTGTATACGACACTGTAAACACCCGGAAGAATGGTACGAGGATAAATTATCCGAGTCGTTCTCTAGAGTAGAGCCTGGTTATTTCGGACCATTTTCTCATCTAAGACGGGAGATGGTAGATTTGAATCCAGCAAAACTGATTCATATTTCTCGCACTGTACCCACAAATGATTGATAAAGGCACTCTGCAATAGCCAAAGGCTTTTGAATATCTCTTTGTCTGGTACTTTCAGAGAAAAATTGATTGTTCTGTGTGAGCAGTCATAGCTCAAGCTATTATTTGCAAATGAAATCTAGAGCACTTGCGTCACTGGAGCCAAAAGAGTAATCCTTCATATATACATGATACTGGTCATGTGTCATAACTTTACACCCTCACACAAACTTAAAGTGTTAAGATTAAACAAGAAGGTATAGATTCTCGCTTTGGCCATGGGATAATAAATTAGCCCAATGATGTCAAAGTAGACAATAATAAAACAAATTCTGGAACAGACCAAAACTTCGCCAGAAAGTAGCGCGGCGTCCCTCGCAGCCTCTCACACCATCTTGATAACGTGAATCTTATCGATATTTAGTCTAGCTTTCTTTCAATGTTCTAATCTTCCGTGCTGTAGAATGATGGGCAACGGAATAAAAACTTCACACCTATCAGCGGTGTCATCTACGAAACGTCAGGCTTCACTCGAGAGTCTTTAGAGCTGGAATTAAGTGACGCCATTGCCCCACTTTGATAACCATTCTCAAAAAGTCTCACAGTATGTACTGTCTTAACCTCTCAGAAAATCCCTCTAATATTTTTATGATAAATTTAATCACGATTAGACCAGATGGTGGAGTTAAAGCCCTACCTACTATCATCTCACTTTTCTTTTCTTGGTCGCGGAGAAGTCTGCAGATGAGTTTACGGAGCGAACCTAGCTTCAGATATGGCTGTGGTGTTTTTGATCAAGGCTCTTTTTGATAAAGAGAGGAGATGTACTTGGATTTACGCACCTCACCTAGCTAGGACTATGTGGTATTTGAGGATTTTTCCATTTTTTGTGGGTAGAAGGTTCCGTAGAGGAGTTGGTTGAACTCTACGAGTTTATACTGAGATGAATAGCCATCTATCATGAACAATATATCGGATATCTTTTCATAAAATGGGATAGGAGCATTGTGCAAGATGTGACCAGGGTTAGGGAGAGGCTCAAAGTTTTAGATAATCGTTGACTCATGTAGCACAGTATACATCAAAACAAAAAACTCACTGGCACGAAAAAGACACATCAGTAGATGCATAGCGAAGTCTACAGGTTTTTTGAGACTTTTCTCTGCGCACGCAATTTCCACTACTGGTAATTTTTTATTTTTCAATCTTTGATGGTAGAAAGTTACGTAGAAACGTTGAACAAACTCTACGGGTAAGTACTGAGCTGAATGGTTATGGGTCACGGGCGACATTTACATGATCTTGTCGGAAAGAAGTTCTATTTGCTATGCACTAAGCGAGGTTGATCTCTCAGTTAGATTAGATTAGATTTTTATTATAGTCCTATCTGAGTCTACGACTACAGAGGACTTCTAGCTTCTAAATGAAAGAGACAAACAAATTTCGATATATTAAACCATTTTAATTCCCAATATTTTCTTATAGATAGTGAGGAACAAGTCCTTTGATCTCTCAGTTGCTGAGCCATAAAGACAATGACTTAGGCAATACAACGAACTACACTCTCGCAATGCTCTTAGATAAAGACACAAGACGTAATAGACACCTCACTTTTTTACCTTTCGTTTTGAATTGAATTAACCTTAATTTTACGCACTATTAAGCCGATGGATAGATCTATTGTTATGATATAAGGCGACGCTATCTCAAGTGGGATACGTATTCAATCCATCCAGACTCTACTTGGAAGACCGGTCCAGACGATGTACCACCGCACTATTCAGCCATGGCTGTGTTTACAGTGTCACCCGCACTCTCGAAACCGAAGTTTTGGCGCATGCACAAAGCTCAATTCGTTAGACTCTTTATCAAAATTCAAATTATGCCAATCATATCTATTGTACCCATCTTCTACACCATCTTGAAAACTTAATCTGATTTCTCTCACGCCAATTCCATAGAACTGTCTCCCGGCCTTATGCGCCACGATTTGTTTCTTCCGTCGAGTTAAAATATCGGCGTGGGCGTGTATCGGATGTTCAGCTGAGGCTAGAGAAGGTCGAAGAGAGGTGTGGTCATTGAAAGGAGAATGTACTAAGTCGTACCCGTAAACTTGATGAGGTCTTGGCGGGGATCAACCTCGTTGTGTGGGAGAAATATATTAGGTAGAGAGCCATGAGCCATTGCCTCATGGGCCAACTTGTTCGGTATTACAAAATTTCAATGAACCTGGCTCTGGGAGAATATTTCACTCCCAGGTTCTTTGAGGACACGGCGTAAAGGTGTTCGTTCATTGCTCTTCATACTTTCTGTTCACATACCCAAAGCGTAGTATTGGATGAGGTTATCCACTGTCGCCTACAAACTACAACGTCATAAACTCCTCATCATTCCGCACTATGACATCCGCATAGCTCTTTTTTTGATTCATATTGTGTTAAGCTATGTAACAAAGACAATTTATCCAGAATTATTTATTTATGAATGAATACAGACTTATTAATTACATGTTTTTCCAATATATCTTGTCCTAATCATCCTTCTTTATACGCATTAATGCACTTAGAAGCTTGAAGAAAATTAAGTAATGCTTGTTTCCCTCTCTTTTTTTGCAGAAGAATTGGAAGATCGGGGGGTTCTATATCTTTGATATCTTTATTTCTTTTATCTGAGAATTTTTGATACTGAAGTATCAAATGTTGCATGGTATGCCTTTCCTTCTTGCAGAAATTACATCTGCTGTCTTTTATTTTTTCCAATTTTGTTCAAGTATACTCTTATATTCCCGATACCAGTTCTAGCCTGAAAATATGCAGATTCAACTTTGTTGAGCGAATTGGTTTGCAAAAGCTTGTGGCTGTTAGGCACAGATTATATCACCTGGTGAAGCGAGTGGGAAAGTAAAGGAGGCTGTAAAACTGTCGTGGAGAGTTGTTAATAACTCCCACTAGGACTCAGAGTGCTATATAAACTATATTTTGTAATAATAAAATCTAGTGGTTGGTATGTACGTCAAAGCGCATTAATACTAACCTCACATTTAATGGGAGACTAGTGACGTATATTCTACTCATCCCTGTCTTTACCATAATTGGAAGCACCAATTTCAACAAACTTCCCTGCTGTGGCCTTGAAAATTTGGTGGTTGTGCTGAAAATGTTGGAGTTGACATTTGGGCCTGAATCCTATAATACTTGCCAAGACCAGAGATCTTTCTGCCCTCTTCCTCATGGAAAAGTTCGGACATCTAATCCTTTGCCCAGGCCTCCAGTACCAGCTCCTTTGTCCATTGCTTGAGAAAAGCATGTGATGTGAATTTATTCCTTTTCAGCACCATCTTTTTGAGGTTTTTAAATGCCTTGAAAATACAGGAGGTTTCTGTATCTGTGATATCCATAGTTTAACCAAGGTTACAGGAGATGCATTTCATTCCGCATAGCTCGTAACTACAATATTTTCCAAGTAATAAAAGAGGATGTAAGGACTGTCCAAGATGTGGCCTGGACTGGAGAGGGGCTGGATGTGCATGATGGTCTATGACTCAAGTAGTAAAACTAACATACCTCACCTCATCAGACGAACCAAGTATTCATTGGATGGCAGGACAGGCACGGCTTCTTCCGAGATTGCAGGAATAAAATTTGTCGGATTTTTTTCTTCAACACAGGTGCAAGTTATAACAGTGTCCAGGGCACCTGAATCATAGCTCTAATATTGAATTTATGCATTAACAGCAACATCATCAGGAAATGTAATATAAATCCAACTTATTATCATAAACATGTTAATTATATTATTTCCTGCACTTACAGCTTGATAAAATCAACTCAGAGACACCACGATCTATCACGACTCACTCCGTAGGCCAACTCCTTCTGTACCACTAATTCCTATAGATCTCTTCACTTGGAGAAGATCTCACTCTCAGGTAGGTAGAGACTACCGCTTAAAGGTGATCTGCCTCCGTTCTTCGGAGAAATAAATTGCTGCATTTCTACAGTCCCTACTCACGCTCGACCTGACTCTCGCCTGAGATCGCAATGAGGCAACAAGTAATTCTCATCTGCCTCAGCCTTATATACTTTGGAGCGGCTGGCTCCGACAAGCATACGTCAACAAAATCACCGCATGAAGCAGCAGTAGCAGTGCAATTAGCAGAAGGAAGTGAGACTCATGACAAGCAGCCCATTTCGTGTGGTGTATTTACGCTTCAATGGAACCACGTGCAGGCTAAAAAGCAGAAAGCTTGCCATGAGTTAAAGTATCAGACCGCCCCGGATAATCATTTGTCAAACATACTCGGCGAAATATATGAACCACGAAGAACAAGCATACCATGGAATAAAAAATATTACATGTACCCTCTGACCCAAATCGTGGCCGATACCGGCGGAATTCTTAGCAATACCCCGTACTTATTTATCACGAATACATGCTCCCTTGTCGCTATCTATCTGCGCATAGGTGCGAGAACTAAAAGTAAGGTGCGGACTCCAATTCAGCAAGAAATATACAAGCGCTGCTGGGACAAACGCGAGGGAAATGAAGCGGTGGTTACAGACGAGAATGATTTTGTCAACAGTATTTACCCTCATTCCTTCATTCAAGGATCCCAAAAACCAGCCGCTCCGTCAGTTCTATCTCAAGAAAAGCACAAAAGGCGATGAAAACCATTTTGTACTAAATTTAGATAAAGCTTTCGTTCAATGCTATGCCCTGTATTAGTAGAGGCGAAATTGTGGTGGATTTTACGCGTCGTCTATCAGCTAGTGTTGAATGCCAATAGTCATATCCAGAGGAAAAAGGTATATGCTGCATACAAACCCGTATAAACTTAATAATCTTCAAGCCACCCTGAAAGATACTTTTGGAATTCCTGAACCTTTCCGATATTCGTCATGCTTAGTTTGACGGAAAGAAAACCTTATATTTCTACCTCAGAGCTTTGTAGCAATAATATCCTGCAGAACTAAAGCGTCGCGGATCAGTAGAAAAACAAAGAGAACTTGTATAGACGACAGTTTTTTATATCTCGACTGATAGGGAGCTATCTAGAGCATTGCATAGGGGGCTGAACAACCCTTTTTATTATCTCTTCGGTCATTATTCTAAAGAATAATCACCTCACATATATTCTGGTCCTACTAGTAGCACCGCGGAGTGCCTGTCCTCATTATTAGAAGAATATCACCCCTTTCTAAATTACTCCTGATCAAGTGTGGGAAGGTTTCGAATATTCCACCAGAAAAACACACCGATTAAGTATCCTGGAATATTCCAGAATGTTGCCAATGAGTATGGTTGGAAATTATACACCGCCTATGCCAGCCAGCTTGGATGATAGGCATTACTCGGTTCACGATCTTTCACACAGAGGCAACCCAGCAGAGTTCTTATAAAATAGAAACCTAAACTTCAGTACATAGCTATGAAAGATTATCCATTAAATTTTAGACCAATAAGTGACTCGTCAGATAGAATCAAAATGCCATTTGGCCCTGCCTAGCTTCTCCCTTATCAGTGAATTTATCTTAGATATGCAATTCACTGTCTTGATCCCGGCGATAACTGCCTAGGTTTCACGGAATAATAACAGGGGTTAGAATGATGGTTTACTATTAGCATACAAATCTAGCAGGCCTGAGTATGGAAAGGTAACGTAACAGTGAACTACGAGCATGTACATAATAAAGCGTAGCCTCCAGTCGAGTTGCCTTCTTCACGCAACGTCTTCTCAATATTATTCTCAATCTAGATATTCCATCTCTTCCTTGTGAAGACCACTTCGAGCCCGTACTCGTATCAGATCACGACGTGCCTTCTTCCTCTTCTTGTGGAAGACCTTGACCCCCTATCTACTCACACTTGTACCCTGTGGACAAATAGCATACACACTCCTCGAGACTAGGTCAGATAAGTGACTGAAGCCGAAAACCACTATTTACGATAGCTAGCAACAAAATATTCAGGGAGATTATTTTCCTTGAACCCGAGGTACTTACTTCCTTGCACTTCAAAGATATGTCCTTTAACTCCCTGGAAATGAAAACTTCTTACTAAATATTCGGCTCAAGTAGTTCGGCATGTCGATGAGTTTTTTCCACAAGAACAGTCGATTTATCATCGGGTTTAGGAAATGTGCCAGCACAAAAATTGGGTAAAATGGTTATTGGCCAAAACGTATTTCTATCTCTATCAATCATGAATAATGAACGGAAGTGAACCCCAACGCCACACTGAAACAACGTGACTGATATCCGTAAATTTTCCCATAGCTACTCTACCAACGCCATTATTCATATAGAAACTGCCAACTAAGATTATTTTCTCTATCTCTTAGGAAGGTGTTTGGCATGAGACGTTCTTGCTGGGTTTTTACTCTGCGGTGATACAATCCTCTACTACGCTTGATCTTTCTAGCCAGTCCAGCTGATGATTTGGCGACTGCTAAGGCTTCATCTGCGCGAGCTATTTGGAGCTGGATGATCATTTTTCATAGGTGTGCTATATCAATCGAAAGGGAAGAACATCATCTGAAACACGAACTAAATTAGAGCCCGCACTGAAAGTTAGACATTTGAGACCAGATGTCCGAAACTGAACAATCTTGCATTTAAGTGTGAAAGGATGGCACCAGAGTAAATAGCTGTTCGCATGAGTATATCCAAAATGGGATTATTTTGTCTCTAGAGAGGAAAACCATATGATCGCAGCATCACCCGCTATATGTTGTCTCGGGGTTGGATGGTGCAGTGGTACACCATTCGGGCCGGACTCCTAAGTAGAAGCTTGGTAGTTTGAACACCTTCGCCATTTCAGACAGGAGAAAGCTGGTTCGAGTCCAGTAAAACTGACACACAACTATCTCTCGCCGTGATATCGTACTTGTGGGATGATGAAATCACATTCGAATAGCCACCGGTTTCTCCCGCTTTTACCTGTGGTGGGTATGCACGGAAGAGGTTACACGCCGTAAGGGTTAACCTCGAGTGGTATCTGCAAATGAAATCTGAGTGTGAGTGTTCTAAATTTCAAATTGAGTTATCCTACTTAAAGTACATATCTTTCGATAAAAACCTGCATGGGCCTCAAGGTGCCAAATCATGATATTGAATTATATATATATATATATATGTGTTGTCTCGCTTATCGCTGATATAATCAATTTATAGGAGCCGGATAAACTCCGGATTCCATCTGCAAGCCAACAGCTCGTAGCGATAGGTGTTAATTTAACCGTACCTGTTGCCGTTTAACAGCCTACCCTCTTTTATCACCTCTCCTTTATCCATGATATAACAATAGTGGTGTTCTCTGGTATGGTTTGAGAACCCTGGGCACCTACTCCACTTGGGAAGGAGACATCTCAGATCACATTTCGCGCGGAGAAAAGTTGACGGATGACGGAGGCATGTCTGGATAACCCAGGGTCTTTGAGACGTTCCCCTGGGTGGGTATTCACGGATGAGGGTTGACTTGGGGTGAAGAAAGAGCCACCATAACTTCGCAGTGGTACTTACAAATGAAATCCGAGGCATGATTGCTCCTCTTGTAAATTGAGTTATCTTTTCTTTACTTTTCTTTGATATTGTGTCGTAGCTAGATAGCTGCATACGCAATTAAAATCTGATGCAAAAAAATAAGTAATTATTCCAAGGAGAGCGCCTCCACTAGCTCTATCTTTTTTTTTTTACATCAGATTTTAATTGCGTATGCAGCTATCTAGCTATGACACAATATCAAAGAAAAGTAAAGAAAAGATAACTCAATTTACAAGAGCACTCATGCCTCGGATTTCATTTGCAAGTACCACTGCGAAGTTATGGTGGCTCTTTCTTCACCCCAAGTCAACCCTCATCCGTGAATACCCACCCAGGGGAACGTCTCAAAAACCCTGAGTTATCCAGACATGCCTCCGTCATCCGTCAACTTTTCTCCGTGCGAAATGTAATCTGAGATGTCTCCTTCCCAAGTGGAGTAGGTGCCTAGGCTACTCAAACTATACCAGAGAACACCACCAGGAGGCGGACCACGGCACATTCCATCGTTGGCTTGTGTTTATAGTGTCAGCTGCACTCTCGCAAGTGAAGTCTTGGCGCGCACAAAGCTCAATTCGTAAAACTCTTGCTAAAATTCGATATTTCACGCCAGTCGAAAACGTATCCCTCTTCTGCATCATCTTACAAACTTGTCCTGATCCCTCTCATGTCCATCCCAAAGAACTGTCTCCCAGATTTGTGCTCCACGCTTTGCTTTCTCCGTCGGGTGTGAATATCGGCGTTGGCGTGTATTTGGTGACCAGCCGAGGCCAGAGAAAGTCGACGAGAGCTGTGGTCATTGTAACGAGGATATACTAGTTCGTACTTGTAGACTTGATGAAGCTTAGTTGAGAATCGGACTCTTTGGGAGTGAAAGATTGACATGGCGGAGTAATTTGAAAATTTGCCTCGTGGGCCAACTTCTTTGATATTGCGAAACTTGACTGAACTTGGCTCTGGGAGAATATTTCACTCCCAGGTTCGTAGAAGACACCGCGTACAGGTGTTCAGTCTTGCCCTCCGGAATAATTACTTGCTACGACCGACCACTTAGTCGCTTTAGTTCCTCTCCCTCTAACCGTAACGCCTATTATCATGACGTGCACGAAGGATAGTGAAGTTGTTCATATCATCAGTCTATGGTAGCTGTTGTCCACATTTTCTGCTTTCCATAGTTTGTTCGTCATTCAAAATCTACTCATACCCTAGAGTTCAATGACCTAATGATTAAACATGTATTTCTTTGAAAGCTATGACTACTTGTGATGATGAGGCTGAGATATCCGTTCAGGAAAGGGGCTGTGAGAAAGGGGTGATTGTTGTTCAGATTTACATCCTTCTGGTCGCGGGAGAGGAAATTACATTTGCACGTCCACTCAAAATTATTGTTACCCGATTAACAATCATATGATGTCAATAACCAAATGGATTTCCCAACACCTAATTATAATAGTGCACCGCTTATTTTCAAGCTGGGCGACAAAAATTGACGCCTCTTACGTCTAATTAGGCATTGGCCGTGCAAAGGCAACTCCCGAACCAACCTCCCGACAAATAACCCCAGAATTAGGTTGGGGCTTCTGCTAGGCCTTTATCAGTATTTTTTTGGCACAATATACGAGGTTCGCACATACTTCCACGAGCAACAAGAACGATCTGGATGTATTATGAAATAAGGTCACCTAGGGGTTCAATGCTGACTCTGCTACTCGTATGTGAATGGAGTATGGTCTATAAATACTGCGCTCGTAGATAATTGATTAAAGATACTAGTAAAGATGCTTCACACTTTATTATGTGCTAGAAGATAGAAAGATATACAGACGGAAGATGGTTGTGTGCATGCGACTCAATGTACTTCGGACCACACCTAAATTACTCTCCTATCACCCTTGTAGGTTCACAACATACCAAACCCACCAATCACAGCGCGGCTATTCCCGTTTGTCCAGAAGTCTATAATAACATCCTTATTAAGCGCCAAAGCATAACCATTATGCAGGTATGCATAAACAATTCTGAGCTATTCCTAGATCACAACAATTAGGGCCATTGAATTTGAATTTGAATTCATTATCCTGATTTGGCGCCCTATGGGCCCATGCAGGTGTCTATCATACTTTCTAATT